GTAGTACTAGTAGTACTAGTAGTACTAGTCGTACTAGTAGTACTAGTAGTACTAGCAGTACTAGTAGTACTAGTAGTACTAGTAGTACTAGTAGTAGCAGTGGTGGTGGTCGTCGTCCTCCTCCTCTTCCTACTAGTAGTAGTAGAAGTAGTAGTAGTAGTAGTAGTAGTTGTTGTTGTTGTGGTTGTAGTAGCAATAGCAGTAGCAGCAGAGGTAGCAGCAGTAGTAGTAGTAGCAGCAGCAGCAGCAATGTAGTTGTAGTAGTAGTAGTAGTAGCAGCAGCAGGAGGATGAGGAGGAGGAGCAGTAGGAATAGTAGTAGAAGTACAGGGAGTATGAGTATGAGGAGGTAGGAGAGGAGGTAGGAGAGGAGGTAGGAGAGGAGGTAGGAGGGTAGGGCGTATGAGGTAGGAGGTAGTAGGTAGTAGGTGGTAGCTGGTAGCTAGTAGGTCGTGGGTCGCGGGTAGTGGGTAGTAGGCAAAAGGCAATGGGTAGTAGGAGCAGCAGGAGGGGTCGCAGTGGCAGAAGTAGAAGTAAATAGCAGTGACAGCAGACGACTAGTCAGCACTGGTAACGGCAGTAATACTCGCCCTTGGAGGTGCCATCGCACTGGGAGCCGTAACGGACCGGGCACAGTGACAGTACGAGTAGCAGGAACAGCTACGGACCTGACAACAATTAAGTCGTGGCAGCAGTGGTAGCTGTGGTAGTACCAAGGGCTGTGAACAGAAGAACAGCAGCAGCAATAGCTGCAGTTTGGTACCTAATGCTCCTTCCTGTGCTACAGCCACTCCCGGGCAAGCGACGACATACTCACAACCATCAGGCGATGATCATTGCCAATCAAAGCTAAGGTGGAAATCATGAGGCAGCAAGAAATTGTTTTGTGGCAGATTGAGGAGATGTGACTAGTATGCATATTGCGATACGTTAGCCATCGTGCTAGAAAGGGTCATTTGAGGCTCCTCGATGGTACAGCAAGCTCCAAAAGTTGGACAAAGTGAAAAGGACCCGGGGTGCACGAAGCATCACTCTGGCGTAGCGGAAGAGCGAGCCACAATCTCAAACATCTCAAACGATGTGAGCAAAGCGCGCAAACTGCACCAACAACAGCAGGTACAGCACTGATGGATAAGCATAATCACGACAGTGCCATGATGCTTCTCGCTTAGTGAGACATTGACCACCACACATCGAAAGGCCAATCCACAAGTCGCATGATCTGGTCCTCGTAATTTGCAAACCGCTGCCATATATGTGCCTCAGGTCCACTCCTGTGTCTTGGCAAACGATGCTAAAACATAATGGCGCAGGCAAACTTCCACTGCTTTTCTCTTTTCCGCTCACCCGCTCCTACTCACCGCAACTCGGTGCACAAAGCAAATAAAGCGAAACTACACGAGACCTCAGGCATAGAGCGCGCTGGCATCTTCTGTGCTTTCACTGCGAGGGCTGGTAGCGGCGTACTTCACCCGCAGCCGCTCCAAAGCGTCCAACACGGAAACGACATAGTCAGACTCGTCCACTGTTTTACGGAAGGAAAGTCCCACTAGGCCTGACAGGAGACATGCAGATGTTCAAAACCTTTTGGGTTCTGAGTGTCGTTCACGTGCAGTCGAGACAACAGCAGAAGCAACAGTAGAAACTCTTCGGCAAATGCAGCAGCAGCACACAAAGCAGCAGCAGCAGCACCAGCAGCACCAGTAGCACCAGCAGCACCAGCAGCACCAGCAGTACCAGCAGCACCAGCACCAGCACCAGCACCAGCACCAGCACCAGCACCAGCACCAGCACCAGCACCAGCACCAGCACCAGCACCAGCACCAGCACCACAACCGCCGCCCCCACCACCACCACCACCACGACGCACAACCTGAGCGTGTATTCCCTCGCAAAGCGTACAGGAACAGAGGCACACACAGGTCTCTCCTTTTGTTACAGGCGCACGTTGTAGATCAGTACTCTTACTAGAACCTTGAGCAACAGGCATAGATACATGCATGTGATACGCGAACAGACAAGCACCTGGATGTTTAAAAGTCTGCGTTTCAACCAGTGATGATGATGGTGATGATGATGATGATGGTGATGATGATGATGATGATTGTTATGGCGAAGACGATGATACTGGTGGTAATGATGTTGTTGATGATGATGATGGTGATGATGATGGTGATGATGATGGTGATGGTGAAGACGATGATGATGGTGGTGGTGATGATGTTGTTGATGGTGATGGTGATGGTAATGGTGATGGTGATGGTGATGGTGATGGTGTTGGTGATGGTGATGGTGATGATGATGATCATCATCATGATGATGATGATGGTGATGGTGATGATGATGATGATGATCATGATGTTGTTGGTGGCGGCGGTGGCGGCGGTGGCGGTGGTGACAATGATGGGAATGATCTTGATGCAAGAACGATGATGATTGCATAACAGTGTGTTGAACGTGAGTATGGCGATGATTCTCTTGCAATCCTAGCACGAAACGTCGGCCTGCGAACGTCATACGGGCAAAGACTTTGTCCAAGTTGGACATCCGACTGTCGGTCAATTCTTCCTTGGCAGAAACTCGCTGTTGTTGATGCTATCTACACTGGCCCTGGGCTGATGGACCGCCTCAAATATCTAGAGCTGTACCATGACTCTGCAACTTGGCCTAACCTGACTTTCCCAGCAGAGCCACAGGTAGAGCAGGGGCACCTGCAGAAACCTGTCAAGCAGTTGGGCATCCCTCAGTGCTTCTTCACTCACAGCCTCTACGATGATGGCGATGATGATGATGATGATGATGATGATGAGTGATGAAGAAGAAGAACGACGCGAAGCATTATCATAAGCAGCAATCAAAACTGACTCTTCCTATTTACCTTGTCTTCGGGGCTCGGTTTGGTAATGAACATGATGACCATCTTCGGCCAAGGACGCTCAGCGTTCTCGAATATGAAGATACTGGAAATCACCACCATTGCCAGACCATCCCCTTATCGCCATCACAACTGCACTTCCAGAACGTCTTCCCCTGATCTGACAGCCATGCAGGATGTTGCATATCGAACCGGAAAGTGGGGTGAATAGCAGCAGTATAGTAGCAGTGGTACTGGTACTGGTACCGGTACCGGTACTCTTAGTGGAGGTGGTAGTGGTAGTGGTAGTGGAGGTGGTAGTGGTAGTGGTAGTGGTAGTGGTAGTGGTAGTGGTAGTGGTAGTGGTAGCGCAGCAGCAGCATCAGCTGCTAGAGTCTTGGTCGAAGCCTAGCAGCAGCAATGCCGCGATGAGATCCTAAGCCCCAACCCCCAAACCCTGCAAACCATAAACCCTCGGTCCGGACCTCGTGCATGCGGCGCTCCATGATCTCCACGACGGAGTCGGCTTTGTGTTGGAGCTGCTCCTGGGGTGTGAAGAAAAATCAGCGACCCTGATCTAAAGCCTCCATGATAAGATCATTCTTTGCAGCCCCCAAAAAAATGTACCCTCATGGTAGGAAACGTGCACTCGGTTGACTCCAAACAACCTGGACCCTCACAGGCATGGGAATTCGCCACCCCTGCCGTGGTCAGCCTCAGCGGCATGCGTTGAACGATCAACGTTGAGTGTAGAAGCCAAACCGATACGCACATTCCTCTGAACCACACACGACAGACTTACAGGTCTCTCAAGCCTACTAACATAAAGGGGGGCCTAATGCTATGATGTAAGGTATATTCCTTAATTGAATCTCGAGAGCTGAAGACCCTCGTGGCCCGGGCCTCAGTGGCCTTCGTTCGGAGATGAGGGAGAAGAATCTCCAATTTCTGCCCCTGCCAAGGTGATTCGCGTGATAACTTTGGGCCTTGAGGTGATGCCAAGTCTTCAGAGATGAGTCCGGCCCTCATCTGAAACCCCGAGTCTAGAAATTGGTCTCGGCCTCTGTCAGCTTGTCGAATATGGTCCTCTGCTTCTTGTCAAGCTGTGCGGGCCTGGGAGGCGTATCATTGTAGCAGAACATGACCGAGCACAAGCTACTAGCGGTCCGTCGTAGTGGGGACAAGGGGACAGGGAGGCGAAGGTGTAGGTGGTGGCAGTGGTCATTGCTGTCTGGATCGAGTGGTGAAGAAAACAATCGCAGGCCGGTGCTGGCGAGGCACTGGCGTGTGTGCTCCAAATGACCTCAGGGTGCTGGAGTTCAGCATTGCCGGGTGGCATTGAGTCGCAGAACGCCGCTACCTGATGTAAATGCAGCCGAAATGCAAAACCCACATGACGAGCCATGCTGGCAATGCCCTTTGGCGAAGTAGATGCCTGGGACATCGGCTGCCGGGCATCAAGCTAGGATAGTGCACAATAGCTGTACACGACACTTGAAGTTGAGATCTGGTGCATCGACGTCGACATAGCTGTGGATGTCCCAAGCTTCCCGGATTATCTGCCTCTTCAACCTTGATGAGTCAACGGAAATGTTGGTCTAGGGGTAGCTGTGCAACTTGTGATGCATTCTGGAAACTGCGGGCGACAGCGTGCCCTGAACGGTACGTTCCTTGAGATAGTCAGACACCTGCGCACATTTTGAGGCAAGGCCCGAAAGTCTCGCTCACTCCCCTGCCTCATACCTGGGATCCCACTTCTGGAAGATAGAACGAATGGACGTCTGGAGCTCACTTTTCATGTCCTGCGCTGGATACGATGGCCATCAGAGGCCGGAGAGGCCCAGCCCATGGATCCTACATGGCCCTCTAAGGCCCCAGAGGCCCTAGAGGCCCTAGAGGCCCTAGACTCCAGACCCTTACTGTGACTGCGTCCCGGTCCTGGCCGAAATCAAAGTTCCGCTTCTTGGTTTGTGGGGTCGATTGTGGAGTCAGCGGAGTCGGAGGTGTCTGTGGCCTCTGAGGTATCTTTTTCGGTTCTGGATGTGGATCTGCTGCAACTGCGGGGAGGTCCTGAGAAACACCAGGAAATAGAGACCGATGGCATCCCGAGAACATGCACTCTGCCCCAGCCTTCAGCAGCACTTTCTTTGGGGAACTTGGAGAGTCCATTCCTCCCAAACTCCCGAACCTCCCGCCGGTCCGCAAGCAAACTTCGGCACTTAACGACTAAGAGCCGTAGCACCTGCGGTTTCGGTGTGACCGGTGCATCGAAAGCTCCAACACTCATGCAACTTGCTCTCTGCCAGTGCCAATGGCCAGTTCGGAACACTCAACGGCACATCGAGATCTTATCGCTCATATCAGCTCATATCAACGGCCCATAGCGGCCCTAGCAATGCAATGAACAAGGCGGGGAGGCGGCATGGCGGCATAGCCGGTGCCTGAAAAGCTGCAGAAACCCCTCTCAGCCCTGACCTACAGTACCTACAGCTTAGCTTGGCTGTGCTCCCGACCATAAGCCGCCGGTGTGGCGTAGTAGCCGCCCTGGGCTCTTCAAGGCTCCAGGCTGTTTACACCAAGCTCCAGAAAACTCGAGAGGAGCCTCGCTGTTCTCCGCACCCAGACGTGCATTGTCCGTGCGAAGGATCACGACATGATCCCATGAATCCCCCCCTTTGCTCTCCCCTACTCTCGAGACCCGACACCAAAGGCTTCAAGACCCTGAAACACACCGAAGCCTTTATTCCCGGCATCCCGAAACTGGCCCTGAACCCCTCGACCCCTTGCAAGACTGGCTCCGCTCTCTTCCTCCTTTTTAAGCCACGGCAGGGGCTCCTCCGGCTGCAGGCACTCTCCTGGCTTGCGCTTTGGCTTTCGAGTGGAATTTCGGGTTTCGGGCTTCCAGGGCCCCCATGGCCTTCTTTGGCTTGCCCTCGTGCAACAGGGATCCTCAGGCAGTGTGCCCAGCTGATATATTAGAGTGTACTCTTGTTTATTATAGTGAACTCGAATAAATTATGGTAGATTATAGTGTATTGTAGCATTCTTGAGGTATAAGGTCCTGTTCAAGACAGTCTCTGCAAAGCTTGAGAGAGCTTTCACACATAGTCACAGCTAGATTCTGAGTCCCCCAGCTACAGCAGACAAGCAGTGTCTAAGGGTCTTGCAAGGTCCTAAGACTTGTCTGGGCGAAGGCTTCAGGAAAAATCTGTCGGACTGCGAGCTTCAGCGGTCCTGTTGAGCTCGCAGGCAAGCTCGTAGTAGTACCCGTACCTTGCCACATCCCTGCTCCATTCACCGCATCTAAGCCTGACCCTTCGAGCACGGAGGATGTGAGACAGAAACCTCAAAGAACAGTTCATGGTAGCCAAAAGCTGAAGATGCACCCAAGGGGCAGAGCTTGGACCACCCCAGGGCCTGGGCAAGTGAGCATCGCCATTCTGTTCATTCCGACTCCGAATGCGCCCGAAGAATAATCGTCGTACTGCTACAGCTGCCTCCGCTGCTGGAGAGCACCTAACGACGATCTCACCAGGCTTTCTACCGGGATGTGGATATGACAAACCTTGGGAAGCGCGCTGATGTTTTTGAAGAAGCCCATACCACATGCCGATGCCAAGCATGAAACTAGCATCAATGATGACCATGCTCGACAGAATCATCGCCCTCGTCATGGAAGTGCTCGCTGTCTTGGCGCCCGGCTGGTGTTAGAGAGGACACCGTTGAAAGCCAAGACGAACTTACCCGGCATCCAAGTGTCGTGGAGCATCCTGGAGAGCAAACTGAGGCAAACTGATCGTCACAGGTAGCAAACCGGTGGCCCCCCAAAGCTGGGTGCCCAGCTGGGCAGTGGCTGGGTGGTAGGAGTTGAACTCGAACTGCGGAAGGATGCGAACCTGCTTTCGGCTTCTGCCGCCCTTCTCCCCTTCTCCCAGTCTCGTCTCGGGTGCCTCTTTCGGATAGACGTCCTCGCCCAGCCCGTGCCGAAACTTCTCCGAGTTGAATCTGAGGAGGTCCCAGATCATGGCAGCATTCTCCCACCTGCGAAGTCTCTAAGGCTGGCAGTCCTAAATCGAAGGAACTGTTGCTGTTGCAGCGATTCGCAATCTCAGCCGCCGGTGAAGGCTAGCGAACACGTCCACTGCAGCTCTCTCATTTCCCGAACCACTGGCTCAGCCCGTTCGCAAGCCCTCAAACTGCGGTTCCAGACTGTCTGCATCTGTTCCGCCAGGCCACCAAGGGTGCGATATCCAAATCGAGTCCTGTCGAACGAAGCGACGCTGGTCATTTCTGCAACCCGTTACCCGGACAAGGGCTTTATAGCGCCGGACATGAAGGAGCAAGATACACCGCGTCCAAACTCTTGAAGAACGGGCTTAGAAACAAGTAGCTGTATGCTATCGGTGCTGCTAGCTGTGCATGCAGCTCCCTGACCGAAACCAACACTATGGGAACATGGCAGTATGACCTGTCGCGTCTGCACTCGTAACTGTGGGAATACTTCGACATTTCGCAAGGATGTCTCACAACCTCAGGAAATCTTAGCGCAAGTCACAAGATGCCGTGCAGACGAGACTGCCGTAACCCTGCTGTGCATCGCAGCTCAGCATGACATGAGAAGTCGGGTTGCAGGGTAGGTGACCAGAGTACGGATGTTTGCTTGGGGGACTACGACGGCTCAAGTCAGCCTGATATGGGGACTGAGTTTCCCTGAACGGCAAGCGGCCTTGCATTCCCAGACCCTGCCCCTGCCGCCAGCTCCTGCTTTCCCCATACCCGGCGCAAGAAGCTGCGGCTCCATTCGGAGCGCCGGAGGAGAAAGGCCCCGGTGTTCAGCATCGCAGCATCCTCGGGCATGAGCGAAGTGTAAAGTGGTGTTTCTTTCTGCAGTCACTGACCACCCAAACCCACGAAACTCGGACTAGAAATTCAGGAAGTCCCAGAAGCAGAAAACAAGAAAAAAGCGATTGGCTTCGCGAAACGATCCGCTATAATAGATCATGTACCGTATATATTATATCTACAATCAATACATATATATATATACATATATGTATAGGATACTAGAAAAAAAATATATATATATATATTATGTACACTATATATATATAATGTAAGATATATATATAAACAGACAGAAGATAAAGTTGCTCAGTTTGGGCCCGGGCCTGGCCTCGGCCGCAAGCAGGTGAACATCGGCATCGAGGCCGTCAGCGACTGAGGCGTAGCGGTAGAGCAAGGAATCCAGGGTCACCTGGTTTTTTTTTTTGAGCACCTTTTTCCATCTTGCCAATCCCTGGTTTAGGACTTAGGGTTTTGGGTCTGAAAGCTGGGAAGCTTGGGAAATTCTTGCCGCGAGGGGCCTGACAGATTCTGCTCAAGATGGCCCTGCTTGATAGGGGCTGCATGCTGACTTCTTTTTTCACCCGGCTTCCACTGACATCTAGTGCACCTCCAGATAAGATCTGAGTCGCGCTCATGTTCATGAAGAAGGTGTCGCAGTCAAACCACAGCCACCAATCCACGTCCGGCTCCTCGCTGTGACATCTGTTCCACGTTCAAGGCGTCCGGCAACTTACGGTCCGCAAGCCGGCCATTAGCTGCATGTAAACCCTGATGACCCCAGTTTCGAACAGTTTACTGGGAAACGTCATCGGCCCGTCCTCCTCAAGCAACCGCTGCAAGAGCCGAACCTTCCCCCAAGCTGGAGGTCTCTCGGGGGCCAAGTTTCGCTGCTCCAGGCGATATCCTGCTCAAAAGGCTTCACACTGTCACAAGAATTGAAGCTTGTGTTGGTGAGTTCAGAGTTCAGCATGAGGCGGGGGCTTCCCCTTCGAGCATCTGCGGCACTTTGGGTTCCTTTTGTGAGGCCGGGAAGTACTTCGCACGCGACAGAATAACTTCAAAAAGCTTTAAGGCTGTGAAGCCTCCGTGGTTGGGACCAGATGCAAGTACATGGTGGCAGGTCCGATAGCTCATGTGCCCGTAATCTGCGCAAGAGTGGGAAAGGGAAAGAAGATACTGATCAGGCACAGCAATGCTGATTGGGTCTTAGAGTAGTAGTGGATGCTACGGTACCTTTGCAGGACGTCGTGGCCAACCTGGCTGAGTGGCGGTAGCCGTGTCGAGCTGCGTAGGCTCCATGGTTCGAGGCAGCATACCGCGGCAGCGGATTCTCACTCGGGTACGCGCCTGGGCGCAGCGGAAAACAGCTACATCCGAATCGCGGGAAGGGACAGAGCCGGCGCCCCTTGAATATATTATCTTATATTATCTTATAGTATCTTATATTATTCAATATTATCTTATATTATCTTATATTATGTTATATTATACTATATTATATTATATTATATTATATTATATTGTATTATATTATATTATATTATATTATACTATATTATATTATGTGGGTCCGCTGTTGCATAGGTCGACAAACTCACAGCTTGAGCGACAAATACTGGTAAACCGTTAGAAACTAGCTTCACAAATTATTGCCCGGTTGAACACGTGCATTTAGCAGGACACAGTGCCCACAAGCCGGCGATCCCTGGCATACATTTCCGACATGACGGAACCCAAGCTCGTCCACAAAATCGTTATACCTCCGACGTATGTTCTGAATGGCTGGACGGCATTTTCCACCAATTTAGGTACGTCTCGAAGAACTCGTCCCTTGAGTGCACGTGCAATCCTGGAGCATGCCTCGCAAAGCAAGAAAGATGTCAGCACCCCTCATTCGCGACCCAAACGCGTGGAACCTGAACCCCGAACCTTTATCGATCCGTTACGGATATACTGTAATGTAATATAGTATAATATAACATAATATAATATAACATAATATAATATAACATAATATAATCTAATATAATATAATATAATATAATATAATATAATATAATATAATATAATATAATATAATATAGTATAATATAATATAAAAAATATGCTATTATATAATATAATATAACATAAGATAAGACAAGATAATATAAGATCAGATAAGATAAGATAAGATAAGATAAGATAAGATAAGATAAGATACTGTGGGTCGAGAACGAAGAGGGCCGAGGTCCAGGCAGACACTCGCAATGCCGATGTTCAAGCTGACGTCCCGCCAGCCTGGGCTCGGCGAGCATGCGTGAAACACTCTCGGAAATTGGTACAGTTAAATACATTATATATCTTATAGTATATTATACTATATTATAGTATATTATATTATATTATCATATATTATATTATATTATATTATATTATCATATATTATATTATATTATCATATATTATATTATATTATCATATATTATATCATATTATATTATATTATATTATATTATATTATATTATCATATATTATATTATATTATATATTATTATATTATATTATATTATATTATATTATATTATATTATATTATATTATAGTATAGTATAGTATAGTATAGTATAGTATAGTATGTTGTATTATATAGACCAGTAAGGCGGTAGCTGTGAGGAGTCTCCGCCGAGCGAGGCCTCGGCTTCTCTCTCCGCACTCGAGACCGAGCTCCAAGTTGAAGCTTTTCCCCCTTGGCCTCGACGATGGGTCTGCTTTGGCATCGGCCAGCATGTTCTGAACCACGTGCATTTCGACATTCATCTCCTGGCATGCTAAGCGATCGCGGCGATAGATGGTACACGAGACCCTGTTGTAGAACCCTTGTAATCTCCCTTACCGTAACCTTCAAAGCACTTTCTGTTTTGCCTTTGCCCTAAACCCTACACCCGAAACCTTAATCCCGAAACCCCAATAGGACCCTACTCTAGCAACCCTTAAAAGAACTTCCAAGCCCTAAACCCTAAACCTTAGTCCCTAAACCCTAAACTCCTTGAGGCCGATCGGCCAGGCGGAGTCGTCGATGTACGAGCGGTCGTACCATGCCCAGCCTTCGCCCGGGCCTCCGCCGTCCTCCAAAGGCAACAGGGAAAGGGATCTAAGGGTACTAAGTACGACACTCGGGTGATGTAAGGGTACTCTAGTATTAGACTAGGGTACTTAAAGGGTTCTACAAGTTGATGGGTTCAGGATTTAGGACACAAGAGGTGCCCAAGAGAAGGAGCCCAGACCATAAGGGAAACGCACCTCTCTGCAAGCATCGGGGCGTGCGCTCCTCCCGGCGGGCGAACTTCTCCCAGACGTGCGTAACCTACACAAAACCACACGCAGGATGGCAGCCTTTGGGACGAGCTCCCAAGAGCCAGAGCCAAGTCGCCCACACGTTGGCCAAGTGCTGGTAGCGGAGCGCCACATGCTGCTGCTGAAGACCGCGGCTCGGCGACTTGTCCTGTGGCTGGGAACCCAAGACCCGAGAGAGCCTAAAACACGGGTCCTCCAAGTTCACCAGGGCAAGGACGCGGTAGAGAGAAGCAACGCCTGCCGGTCTGAGCACAAGCGCTTCGGTCACATGCCGTTTCTTAGGACGCTCTGAAGCCACGGGAAAAGGTGGCCCTTTAAAGCCCCACACCTTCCGAGAGCACGGGGCCAAGAAACCTGCAGTTAGCCGGGACATCCTGGGCCCCAAGGGGCAAGCATCAGGCAAACCACGGCTGCACCCTCCAAAGCGATGATTGAACACAGATCAAGACTGTCGGACGATTTGGGAATAATCAGCTGCTGTAGCGCCAGTGACAGTGACGAGATCGAATCACGCTGTCCAAGGCCCGATGCTAAACTGCTAAACAAGTAGCGACATGACTCCGGGGGGCCCACTTGGTGGTGAGGCCCACAGCCCTAAACCGCGAGAACCCTGAAAGTTCAAAACCCCGAATCCTGAATAACGCGATCAGACTCTCTGGTTCCTCCACGATGCCTCGAAATTGTCAGAAAAGTCGGACCGCTGCACCATTGGAATGTTTGAGGGGGCCTTTGGAAGATGTGCCTCGGTTCTGTCAGGATCTTGACGATGCTGGTCGACTTGTCGGGCACGGCTTTGAACTTTGGTTGCTCATGTCCACAGAAGTGCCGCTCGTGAAGCAGCACACTAACGGCAAACAAGGACAGCAGAGTTGACTCCACCCGCTGCCTATCACCACCTGAGGCCGAACGCGCGTTCACGAGATCTTGTCCTTGGCCGCGGTGCCATTCTCCACTGGGTAGAACAGCGCGAAGATCCCCGGATTCAGCACGACGAAAGTCATAACGACGTCAGTCTCGAGCATCTTCTGCATGCCCATCATCTTGCGGCGCGGCTGCACATTGCGCAGGTATAGCGGTGCAATGACAAAAATCTCTGCCGTGTGCACGGCAACGAGCATCTGCCTCACCACACCCGGTGGCTTCGAGCCTGCGAAGAAAGCTACGAGGCGAACGGTGACGAGCATCAGCAAGAAGCCGGCATAGACAATGGTGAAGTCCCCGTTGCTGCTGTCTGCGGAAACTCCATCCGTCACCTCGTGCAGAGGCACCTTCTCGACGAGGAGCTTGTACAGTGGAGGGAACTCAAAGAATGCCAGGAAGAGCACGTACCACCGAAGCAGCCCCATGCTATCGCAGAAGAAAGAACCTACAAGTGCTGAGAGTATAGCTGAGCTAGCTGCAGCTTGCGTTTCTCCCGAATTGCAACCAGCTTTGAGGCCAACTCGCTGCGGCAGCACGGATGTTACGCAAGCACGGGGAGGGGACGGGAGGGGAGGGGAGTAGGGGGGGAGCGATTGTGGGTAGCTCCCCTGCGGCCACTTTGACCGCTCAGAACCCTGTCAAAGTCTGAGGTAAGATACTTCTGAAACACGCGCCTAAAGCCTGACAACTCATCGAATTCAGCAATGCATGATGCAGCAAGGCCTCCGCGAATCACATCTAGTTTACTGTCAGGATGATTGCCCTCTAGACATAACACGATTACCTTCTACACATATCCAAAAGAACAGGGTGCCACCACATGACAACACAGCTAAAAAAGGAGAGACAAGCATTCATGATATGCAAAAGGCCAATGTACTCTAGCCTGGCATGCTATGACTTCATGTGGACCATGCGCCATCTTCTCCCCCCCCCCCCCCCCCCCC